TATATATATATATATACACACACAACTGTTCAAAAGTCTGGGATCAATGAGATTTTTAAAGAAGTCTCTTCTGCTCAAGGCTGCATTTATTAACATATATCGATTAAAAGCAGTAAAAGCACTGAAATATTATTAGAATGTAAAACAGCTGTTTTCTATGTGAATCTCTGTTAAAGTGTAATGTATTCCTGTGATGCGCAGCTGTATTTTCAGCATCATTCCTCCAGTCTTCAGTGTCACATGATCTTCAGAAATCAGTATAATATGCTGATCTGCTGCTCGAGAAACATTTCTGATTATTATCAATGGTTGAAAACAGTCGTGCTGCACAATATTTTTTGTGGAAACTGTGATGCATTTTATTTTTAGGATTCTTTGATGAATAAAAAGTTAAAAAGAACAGCATTTATTCAAAATAGAAATCTTTTGTAACAATATACACGATTGTTCAAAAGTTTGGGGGTCAGTATTTATTAAAAAAAAATGCTTTTATTCAGCAAGGATGTGTTAAATTGATAAAAAGTGATGATAAAGACTTGTAATATTAGAAAAGTGAACTTTCTGTTCATCTGTGAATCCTGAAAAATAAGATGTATCGCAGTTTACATAAAAAATATTGTGCAGCACGACTGTGTTCAGCATTGATGATAATCAGAAATGTTTCTAATAATCGGCATATTAGAATGATATACATATAATATTTATATAATACGTGCACAACACACACTTTAAAAAAAATGGTTTGCTTCTAGCTTTGACTTTAGATTAGTGTGAGTTTGAGGCGTGTGATCTGATCTGATCTGAATGTGTTGAATAGTTAGACTAGTATAGCTAGTAGAGGTCTCCTGACGCTGCTGGAGGAGGATTCTGGGTAACTAGTACTGTGCTTAACGCTCACATCTGACTTTCTTGTGTTGTCAGGACTAATATCTCTCATATCTGAGGCTTTTCTGTTGCTGCTTGTGCTGAAATCTATATTTGTTTTGTCTGAACTAAAATTCTGCACATGCTGAGCAAAAATGCAGATTTTAAATGTCATCCGTAAGGCTTTTTCTGTACTTGTCCTGCCACCAAACTATTATACGTTTAAGTGCTAAAAGAACTATAATTAAATCATAAATAAAACCTATATAGACATAAAAATGACAAAACACAGTAAAGTTACTAAAATGAAGGAAAACAATGTTACATTTTCTTTACACTAAAAACACTAGGTTATTAAAATGTTAATTGAATTAATAGGTTATTAATTAAACTATAAAATCACAATTCGTATTTATTTTCCTGTAAAATGATGGCGTATGATTGGCTGCTTAGTAAATTGAAACGAATGATTCCAAGGTGTTTTGAGAAATCCTCAAGACATAAATGAAGGTGAATGATATTTAGTGAAGGTTATTGTTTGTGTAAGTGATTTGCACTAGTGGAGCACTAAAATAACATCTCCAGCAGCCTTGACCGTATAACACTGATCTTCTGAAGCTCGTATGTTATGTGTGTGATTATAAAGCATGTGTTGAGTGTGTGTTCAGGCTTTAAATAAGCTCACTGCATCGCTGGAAATAGTACACTGTAGATGATCCAGATTACCAGAACCACACGGTTTCCTGAAGCCCTCAGTGTTTTTCTGTGTCAGAGAGGCTGTTTTTGAGGTTAAACTGGTTTGTGTCGCTGGTGTTTGTGGGTAACTTTAGACGGGCTGATCTGGGTCACTACATTCGTTTTTAGGACAGACCGAGGACTTCTGGGACCTGTACTATAGTAAAACCCTAATGTCCTCCATGCTCTCCTTCAGCTTCTCCTGGTGTAAATAATGCGTCCAGTGAGTGTGTGTGTGTGTGTGTGTGAGAGAGAGAGAGTGTGTGTGTGTGTGTGCGCGTTTTTGTGACAAATGAGGACATAAATGTGTATAATGACAAAGGTATGACAGGTATTACAAGGAGAAGGTGACTTTTCAGGACATTACCCCATGTCCCCACTTTTCAAAACGCTTATAAATCACACAGAATGGAGTGTATTGAAAATCTGAAATAGCACAAAGTCTCCTGTGAGGGGTAGGTTTAGGGGTAGGGTTGGTGTAGGGCAATAGAATATACGGTCTGTACAGTATAAAAACCATTACACCTTTGGAGAGTCCACACTTTTCACAAATGTGTGCGTGAGTGTGTGTGTGAGTGTGAGAGTGAGTGTGAGAGTGTGTGTGTGCGTGTGAGAGTGTGAGTGAGAGTGTGTGTGTGAGTGTGCGTGTGAGAGTGTGTATGAGTGTGTGTGTGTGTAGTGTGTGTGTTTGTGTGTGTGTGTGTGAGTGAGAGTGTGCGTGTGAGAGTGTGTATGAGTGTGTGTGTGTGTAGTGTGTGTGTTTGTGTGTGTGTGTGTGAGCGAGAGTGTGTGTGTGTGTGTGAGAGTGTGTGTGTGTGCGTGTGAGAGAGTGTGTGTTCTGTTCACACGCTGATCAGTGATTTACACGAGTGACCGTGGTGAAAAACACCTTTATATTACACCTTCTGGACAGAACTGAACAGAGCTACTAGTTAAGAAGCGGCTTCACCGGTCAAATCCTTGTCAGGTTAATCTGTTGATTCAAGATGTTTTTGTGTTAAACTGATTTTATTTGGACTTTTAGTAGAGAATGATTTGTAAATGCACTTTTTTTTTTTTTTATGCAAACACGTAAAACTTACTTTATAACAAAAATGCATGAAACACATATTCGCACAAGTAATAATTGCACGAAGAAATTAAAATAGAGAAAATTGAAAAAATAATTTACTTTTTAAAAAGTAAAATAAATAAACAATATTAATAAAATGACTACATAATATAATAAATATTTTTATTAGTACAAATAAAAATAAATGACAAACCAGACAGAAAACGCCAACAGTTCTATAAAAAAGTCAAATTAGAAAATTAAGACAAAAAAAACAACATATTAGTCATTAAGAAAATAAATAAAATGGAACCAGATTTTGTCAAATAACAACATTTTGTCCTGTAAGATGCACCTAGTGTTTTCTAAATGTAATGTACCGGCCGAGTCTGACAGTCACATTTTCTCAAAAATTCCTTAGAAACAATATAATTAATATATAGTCTAGTTCAAAACGTTTGTCAAATGTATCTGGAAAAAATGCATTATAAAGGTATTCATAATGTACGTTGTCATGCATTATATCTTTATATAAGTAATTGTAACCAAAATGCATTATAATATTTGAAGGTTTGTTTGTCATGTGTTTTAATGAATTATACTGTCTGAAGTTGTAACAATGAATAAATAAGTATTAGATGTGATATTTCGGTGCATTACATGGCATGATTAATGCATTAAACTACTTTTATAATGAAGGATTTAAGTGAAGTCTTGTAAATGTTGTAATTTTGGACGCATGACATAGCAACGGGCTGGAATATAAAAATGGTCGAATTAACTTGATGCACATGTGAAAAGCACTTTATACTGAATAATACAGCATTAAAAATCTAGATGTTTTGTGCTGGTTTTCTGGTTGTGTCTGTGGCAGGGGTCTCTGGGATGAGCTGCTCTGATCCGGAGGCGTCTGGAGCCGTGCAGATCGTCATCGCAGACGAGGAGCATCACCAGTTCTCTCTGGACGAGGAGGCGCTGGAGCAGATCCTGCTGCAGGAGCGCGTGAGGGATCTACATGTGGTGGTGGTGTCTGTAGCTGGAGCCTTCCGCAAGGGCAAGTCCTTCCTGCTGGACTTCATGCTCAGATACATGTACAGCCAGGTCAGAGCTGCTTCATCTTCACAGAGAAACCTCAAAAATACTGTCAAAATTGTTTAATATTTTTAGAATCTAAAACAGCTGTTTTCTATGTAAATCTCTGTATAACTATAATTTATTCCTGTGATCAAAGCTGTATTTTCAGCATCATTCCTCCAGTCTTCAGTGTCACATGATCTTCAGAAATCAGTATAATATGCTGCTCAATGCATTTTATTTTTCAGGATTCACAGATGTATAGAAAGATCAGAAGAACAGCATTTATTTGAAATAGAACTTTTGCAGACATAAGAAAAATAAAATATTTTAACACCGATAATGTTGACTTTATTATTAATGTTGGCATTTTATGAATCGGCGCACAAAATCTTTGTGTGAGATTACAATATATGCTTTCCATTAATGCATTGTAATTGCACATGAAGAAAAGACGCTTGCACACAATGAGCTGATCTGACAGCAGTGTGGAACTGCAGCGTTCACGTTTGTCATGTGTTCTGGTTCGGACAGCCGCTTTACTGTGAAACACTGATGTTTTGTGTTGAGAGTGCTGTTGAGTTTAGACTGAACATACAGTTGAGAGACCCACACAATGAAGCGAGCTGTGATGCTGTGTGTCTGTCTCAGGACTCGGACGCGTGGCTGGGTGGGAACAACGAGCCGCTGACGGGCTTCACCTGGAGGGGCGGCTGTGAGCGCGAGACCACCGGCATTCAGGCCTGGAGCCACGTGTTTGTGGTGGAGAAACCAGACGGCAGCAGGGTAAAGCTCAGCCGCATCACACTGCCTTCGGACAATATTCTCATCAGTCGAACCCCTTTGAGCTGAAATATTGTCTTGAAGTCATTTTAAGCTAATATGTGACCCTGGAGCACAAAACCAGTCATAAGGGTCAATTTTGTGAAATTGAGAGTTATGCATCATCTGAAGCTGAATAAATAATCTCTCCATTGATGTATGGTTTGTTAGGATCGGACAATATTAGAAAATCTGGAATCTGAGGGAGCAAAAAAATCTAAATATTGAGAAAATCATCTTTAAAGTTGTCCAAATGAAGTTCTTAGCAATGCATATTACTAATCAAACATTAAGTTCTGATATATTTACGGTAGGAGATTTACTAAATATCTTCATGAAACATGATCTTTACTTAATATCCTAATGATTTTTGGCATAAAAGAGAAATGTATAATTGTGACCCATACAATGTATTGTTGGCTATTGCTACAAATATCCCCCAGACACTTAACACTTCAGTATTTTAACCACACATTCACTGTCGATATGTGATATCAGATATGGTAACGTTACATGCAGTTAAACACACATTGCAGTCAAAAATATTTCATCTTTTTTTAGTAATTTTAATTTTTAAACTCTGTTAATTCTAAATTTTTATGATTTAATTAGCTTTATATTTAATATTTATTGATATATTTATTTATTTTATTTATTGCTTATTGATATTTATTACTCATTAATTATTATTGTTATTTGTCAGTTATTGAGTATTAATATTATTTATTGTTTATTAAATATTTGTTTATTATTAATCATTTTATTTATTATTCTTATTTTTGTAAATTTATGTAAAATGCATTACTATTTATTGATCATTTATTTTTAGTTTATTGGTTATTATAATTTGATTATTATTTGTTTGTTTATTAAATATTTTTAAATATTTTTATTATTAATTTATATTTTACATGAATATGTACTACTATTTATTGTTTATTATTGATAGCGATCAGGCGTGTTCTGGCTCAGTTACCCGTGACCGTGTGTGTGTCCGCAGGTGGCTGTGCTGCTTCTGGACACGCAGGGAGCGTTCGACAGTCAGTCCACCGTCAAAGACTGCGCCACACTGTTCGCCCTCAGCACCATGACCAGCTCTGTACAGGTACGACACGCGTCACGTGTGCGTCGCTGAGAGAGCATGCAGTGTCCTGATGCTCCTGCTTTTATGCGCAGGTCTATAACTTGTCCCAAAACGTTCAAGAAGACGATCTGCAGCATCTTCAGGTGAGACGTGACAGAAAAACACACTTAAAACGGCTGAATGCCAAAGTATCAAATAGAGGAGCACTGATTTATTCTTCACAGGTGCTGGTGAAATGATCATCAGTATGAATAGTGCGTTATTTTAGCATTTAAGTTTGTCATGTTGCTCTAAATGGCTAATTTTAATTGGGATCATCTGCTGTAAATAACGATGTGACTGCTGGTCTGTGTTCACACACGTCTGATTGATGCCATTAATTTTAGCAGAACTGAGATGCTGTTATAGTTAATGTTTTGAATCACTTTTGATTTATTGTTATATTTAGATTTTTTTTTTGAAATATTTTGTTGTTTTTGTCTTTGGTAGTTTTTTTAGTTTTTTACAGACTGTCTACGTATATATAATGAATGTTGCCTTGGCAATTAGCTGAAATTTATTATTTCAGTTTTTGTTGTTTTCTTTAGTTGAAGTTTTAGTTGGCTTCTGTTTAAAAGTGTCTTTGCGAGAGCTGAATTTTAGGACACTGTGTCAAATTACAAGTTCAACTTTTAAAACCTTTAAACACTTAAATGCCGTTTGCGTCTATCTGCAGGATCATGCTGTGTGTCACATCTGTTCACATATTTCTGATGAACAGCGGTCACAGGTTTACAGCACTAGATCTTCAGCATGTCACACCTGTTCTGTGCGTCTCTCACTGTGACATGAATCCTTTGAGATGTTGTCATGTCACTGCATTAGAAACGGAATAAAGTGACTCAAGTGTGCAAATACTCTCCGTATTATAATGTGTGCTTCTGCTGCTTCAGCTCTTCACAGAGTACGGTCGACTGGCCATGGAGGAGATCTACCTGAAACCCTTCCAGGTGTGTGAGAGTGTGTGTGTGTTTGTGTGCGCGCGTATGAGTGTGTGTGTGTGTCTGTGTGAGAGAGTGCGTGTCTGTGTGTGTGAGACGCTGCAGTGACGCCGTGTCTGTGTTGGTCTGCAGTCGCTGATGTTTCTCATTCGAGACTGGAGTTACCCGTACGAACACGCTTACGGTCTGGATGGGGGAAATAAGTTCCTGGAGAAGAGGCTGCAGGTGGGTCACGTGATGCCGCAGGAATCTGGTTTCTCCTGCTCTTATCCTCACGTGTGCTGATTCATGCTGTGATTCTCAGGTCAAACAGAATCAGCACGAAGAGCTGCAGAACGTCAGGAAGCACATCCACTCCTGCTTCTCCAGCATCAGCTGCTTCCTGCTGCCGCACCCTGGGCTCAAAGTGGCCACCAACCCACACTTCGACGGCCGCTTGCGAGGTGAGAGCGCTGCTTGAAGCAGTGTTTCTGCTGATGACGGGAGAATACTAGCTCCAGCAAAACAGACACTACTTTTGAAATCAGCACTCAAAATTAGTAAGAAACAAGTGTTGGGTTTCAATAAATATGATGCAGGCCAGTGCTATTAATCACTGAAATATAAAATAATCATTAAAGGAGCGTCGTGTGTGTCTGTCTGTCTGTCTTGTCTGTCTGTCTTGTCTGTCTGTCTGTCTGTCTGTCTGTCTGTCTCTGTGTGTCTGTCTGTGTGTCTGTCTGTCTGTCTGTCTGTCTGTCTGTCTCTGTGTGTCTGTCTGTGTGTCTGTCTGTCTGTCTGTCTGTCTGTCTGTCTCTGTGTGTCTGTCTGTGTGTCTGTCTGTCTGTCTGTCTGTCTGTCTGTCTCTGTGTGTCTGTCTGTGTGTCTGTCTGTCTGTCTGTCTGTCTGTCTGTCTCTGTGTGTCTGTCTGTGTGTCTGTCTGTCTGTCTGTCTGTCTGTCTGTCTCTGTGTGTCTGTCTGTGTGTCTGTCTGTCTGTCTGTCTGTCTGTCTGTCTCTGTGTGTCTGTCTGTGTGTCTGTCTGTCTGTCTGTCTGTCTGTCTGTCTCTGTGTGTCTGTCTGTGTGTCTGTCTGTCTGTCTGTCTGTCTGTCTGTCTCTGTGTGTCTGTCTGTGTGTCTGTCTGTCTGTCTGTCTGTCTGTCTGTCTCTGTGTGTCTGTCTGTGTGTCTGTCTGTCTGTCTGTCTGTCTGTCTGTCTCTGTGTGTCTGTCTGTGTGTCTGTCTGTCTGTCTGTCTGTCTGTCTGTCTCTGTGTGTCTGTCTGTGTGTCTGTCTGTCTGTGTGTGTGTGTGTCTAGACATCGATGAGGAATTCAAGAGGGAGCTGGTGAATCTGGTGCCTCTGCTTCTGGCTCCTGAGAGTCTGATGGAGAAGGAGATCAGCGGCTCTAAAGTCACGTGTCGAGATCTGCTGCAGTATTTCAGAGTAAGAGACACTTCTCCACCGCGTCTCCATCGTTCAGATGCCTGCTGGGATTGACCGTGTGTTTCTCTGTCTCAGGCCTACATGAAGATCTATCAGGGCGAAGAACTGCCGCATCCCAAGTCCATGTTACAGGTACAGACGTGATCGTCAGGTCTCATAGAAAACATCAGTTTGGCCCATTAGAAGGTCTCTCACATGCTTGGGTTACGTGCAGTTTAACTTGAAGAAGTTATGACTATTGTGCAACAGAATGTACTTCTTAGAGTCGTAATAATACACTTTATTGAAACTTTATTTTTAAAGAATATCTTGCACGATCACAATTTTTTATCCTTGTTGTAATTTAAACAGTAAGCCTCAGCACTTTGTTTGCCAAAAAAAATCTAAGAAATTGTTGCATTTTCATTTTTCGAAGTTTCATGCATCCATTAGATTACCACTGAATTTTGTACTAAATCATGAAACATAATCCACAAAAATTAACAAACACAAAATTAGTTATTGCTGATGAATTCAATTTATTCTACATCCTTTTTGAGTTAGTTTAGTTAAAAATTTTTTAAATGTAGGAAAATTAAAACGGAAAACATGGAATTTGTCATAAAATCTAAATTTTTAGGGTCCTACATGCATCATTCATAGAGAATAAAACAAGAGTCATGAGCTCCATGAAATCTTTCATTATTATAGACGTTGTTATTTAAACTTTTGTTAATATTTCCATCTCATTGATATCTTAAGATGTTATGAAGGAGGATGCCCATCGGTCCTGAAATTCACTTTGATCCAATTTGAGGCCATAAAATTATCTTGAATTATAGAACAAAAGTCTTAAAATGCGCAAAAAAATTGACCCCAACCCAAAAGCTTTCCAAAACACATGTGTGTTAAAACGTTGCATGATCCTAAATATGACTCTGCAGCACAAAAGCAGTGTTAAGTCGCTGGGGGATATTTGTAGCAATAGCCAACAATACATTGTATGGGTCACAATTATAGATTTTTGATTAGTAATATGCATTGCTAAGAACTTCATTTGAACAACTTTAAAGATGATTTTCTCAATATTTAGATTTTTTTGCACCCTCAGATTCCAGATTTTCAAATATTGTCCGATCCTAACAAACCATACATCAATAGAAAGCTCATTTATTCAGCTTTCAGATGATGCATAAATCTCAATTTCACAAAATTGACCCTTATGACTGCTTTTGTGCTCCAGGGTCACATATGAGAAATATTCACCAAAGTGCAAGAAGAAATGCGTAGCTTAACCAGATCTTCAGGCGGTTTGCGAACAGCAGGAGATTTTGATTGGATGTTAGTCGGCTGATAGATGCTGTGTGTCTGTCGTGTGCCGCAGGCGACGGCTGAAGCGAATAACCTGGCCGCTGTAGCAGGAGCGAAAGACTCGTACAGCAGGAGCATGGAGCAGGTACGTCTCTCACCTGATCACGTGATCTCTCGGCTGTGACGCCCGTGACACACGCGTGTTCTCCCGTCTGCAGGTGTGCGGTGGAGACAGGCCCTACATGTCTCCGGCGGATCTGGAGCGCAGTCACGAGGAGCTGAAGCAGAGCTGTGTGCGTCAGTTCCGCGGCGTGAAGAAGATGGGCGGCGAGGAGCTCTGCCTCCGCTATCAGGAGCAGCTGGAGCAGGAGATCGACGAGGCCTACGCCAGCTTCCTCAAACACAACGATGGGAAGAACATTTTCTTCGCGGCGCGCACGCCGGCCACGCTGTTCGCCGTGATGTTCGTCATGTACGTGGCGTCGGTGGTGATTGTTTGCCAAAAAAAATCTAAGAAATTGTTGCATTTTCATTTTTCGAAGTTTCATGCATCCATTAGATTACCACTGAATTTTGTACTAAATCATGAAACATAATCCACAAAAATTAACAAACACAAAATTAGTTATTGCTGATGAATTCAATTTATTCTACATCCTTTTTGAGTTAGTTTAGTTAAAAATTTTTTAAATGTAGGAAAATTAAAACGGAAAACATGGAATTTGTCATAAAATCTAAATTTTTAGGGTCCTACATGCATCATTCATAGAGAATAAAACAAGAGTCATGAGCTCCATGAAATCTTTCATTATTATAGACGTTGTTATTTAAACTTTTGTTAATATTTCCATCTCATTGATATCTTAAGATGTTATGAAGGAGGATGCCCATCGGTCCTGAAATTCACTTTGATCCAATTTGAGGCCATAAAATTATCTTGAATTATAGAACAAAAGTCTTAAAATGCGCAAAAAAATTGACCCCAACCCAAAAGCTTTCCAAAACACATGTGTGTTAAAACGTTGCATGATCCTAAATATGACTCTGCAGCACAAAAGCAGTGTTAAGTCGCTGGGGGATATTTGTAGCAATAGCCAACAATACATTGTATGGGTCACAATTATAGATTTTTGATTAGTAATATGCATTGCTAAGAACTTCATTTGAACAACTTTAAAGATGATTTTCTCAATATTTAGATTTTTTTGCACCCTCAGATTCCAGATTTTCAAATATTGTCCGATCCTAACAAACCATACATCAATAGAAAGCTCATTTATTCAGCTTTCAGATGATGCATAAATCTCAATTTCACAAAATTGACCCTTATGACTGCTTTTGTGCTCCAGGGTCACATATGAGAAATATTCACCAAAGTGCAAGAAGAAATGCGTAGCTTAACCAGATCTTCAGGCGGTTTGCGAACAGCAGGAGATTTTGATTGGATGTTAGTCGGCTGATAGATGCTGTGTGTCTGTCGTGTGCCGCAGGCGACGGCTGAAGCGAATAACCTGGCCGCTGTAGCAGGAGCGAAAGACTCGTACAGCAGGAGCATGGAGCAGGTACGTCTCTCACCTGATCACGTGATCTCTCGGCTGTGACGCCCGTGACACACGCGTGTTCTCCTGTATGCAGGTGTGCGGTGGAGACAGGCCCTACATGTCTCCGGCGGATCTGGAGCGCAGTCACGAGGAGCTGAAGCAGAGCTGTGTGCGTCAGTTCCGCGGCGTGAAGAAGATGGGCGGCGAGGAGTTCTGCCTCCGCTATCAGGAGCAGCTGGAGCAGGAGATCGACGAGGCCTACGCCAGCTTCCTCAAACACAACGATGGGAAGAACATTTTCTTCGCGGCGCGCACGCCAGCCACGCTGTTCGCCGTGATGTTCGTCATGTACGTGGCGTCGGTGGTGACGGGCTTCGTGGGTCTGAGCCCTGCGGCGGCGCTGTGTAACCTGCTGATGGGCCTGGCGCTGCTCTCGCTCTGCGTCTGGGTCTATGTCAGATACTCCGGGGAGTTCAGAGAGCTGGGCTGCTTCATCGACCGGCTGGCAGAAACCCTGTGGGAGCAGGTGCGTATCACATCGTCAGCACAAGAGCTGCTTCCTTCCTGTCTGTCTGTAGTGCAGCACAACAGGACTCTTATTCTGCAGTTTCTTGTCTTCCCCACTTCTGTCTCCCATCCAGCTGTATTAAAAACATTGACTTAATCATGACATTCAGAAAGGTCATAACGTAGAGTTAGTATGGCAGTGGTCAAAAACACTAAAGGTTTTAAAGGAGACATATTATGCCCCTTTCTACAATATGTAATATAAGTCTCTGGTGTCCCCAGAATGTGGTTATTATTGTGTATATAATGTTATATATTTTCTTAGATTTTTTTAATGCATTTATTTAAAAAAAAAAATCCCGAGTAAACTTTCTAAGGCAGATGCCAAAAGCACTAAACATCATTACATTTTCACAGTTATTGTTTCTGTTATATTTATTTATTTGCCCATTCATTGTTTTGTGTATATTTTTGTTTTTATTGTTTGGCTTTGTTTATATTTTTATTTTTAACGCCACATCCTCCCCCCCCTTTTATTTTTTGGCTTTTTTTATATTTTTATTTTTAACGCCCCCCCCCCCCCCCCCCCCTCCCCCCAGTTAACCCTCTAAGGCAGGTGTCACAAATATTAAATGTTTTTACATTTTCACGCTGTTATTATTGTTTATTATGATGTATTTGATTTTTTTTATATGGATATTTTAAGTTTATGAATTTATTTATCCCCCAGGTAAACTTCCCAAGGCAGGTGTCATAAGCACTGAATGTTTTTAACTATCTATTTCTATTATATTGTAGATTTTATAATTTTTTTTAATGATTTTATTTATATTTTAACTTTTATTTGTTGAACTTTTTTTTTTTTACTTTCTAAGGTAGGTGTTAAAAACACTGAATGTTTTTAAATGTTCTCACAATTGTTTCTTTTTATAATATATATATATACAAAAAAATTTTTTTTTTATCCCCCATTTATTTATTTTGAGCGGAACAGTATAAATTTGTAATTGGCCATCATGTAGGTTCCCCAGAATCAGACCACCTCGATGATGATGATTTAGACGCTTCTCAGCTCGAGTAATAAACCTTTATACTGTAGATTTAATCTTTCATTGATCCTGAAGATTGTGCTGCTCATTCAGTGCTGAAGTTAAGCTCTGAAACTCTTGTGTCTGTAACGTCTCGCTCTCTTCTCACTCCATGCTCACACAGAGGACGCCGCGGAAGGTGAGAGTGACCTCTGACCTCTTCACCTCATCACACACGTGTGTGTGTGTGTGTGTGTGTGTGTGTGTGTGTGTGTGTGTCTGTGTCACTAACACGCGTCTCTGGTTTCAGGTCTTTTCCAAACTGTTCGAGGTCGCGCGGAGCAAAGTGACGCTGAGCGCCGTGATGCCGACGCCGCGACAGAGACTGTCCTCAAACAACAACGTCAAGAAGAGGAACTAGCCCGAGAATCTCACGTTCAGGACGCTCCATCACCGCCGAGGATTCTGGGAGTTTCACCAGGTGTCCTCTTTCTCATGTCATCTCTTCTGTCCGTCTCATCTGTGTTCATGGAGAAGTGTTCGGACTCGCTGACGTCTCCTCCGGACGCGTCACATGACTCGGAGCGGGTCACGATCCACTACAGGACCTAGTTGAGAACGCTGAGCTGTACCAATGATTTCAGTGTCTGCTGTACAGACGAACTTCCTGTGCGTCATCATTCCATCCATCCAGACTGTGTTTCCTGTACTGACGAGGGTTTTTAAACTGCTCACTGTAGGGCATGATGCGCGAGATAAACGTGTGTGTGTGTGAGACTCAAGCTACTACACGCTTCCTTTGGAGCAGAGAAAACATGGATTCATGTTCATCAGCAGGAATGATGCTGTGATTCATGTCCATATTGGAGAGAAACACACACACACTTGTGCACACCCACCCGCATGCACAAACATACTCGTGCAACTCACTCACTCACACACTCTCTCTCTCTCTCTCTCTCTCTCTCTCTCTCTCTCTCTACATAGATGCACGCATACATACACCCACCCGCATGCACAAACATACTTGTGCAACTCACTCACACTCTCTCTCTCTCTCTCTCTCTCTCTCTCTCTCTCTCTTCACAGACGCACGCATACACACACACACACACACACAC